GGTTTTTTCTAAATCCGAAATTGTGGGCTCGACTAGAAATTGCTAGCTCCGGAGCTGCTGAACCCTAAACCCTAAACCCTAAACTTAAAGCCAAAGTTACCTGCAAGGCAAGGGCTGGCTGGCTAGAGCAGGCCGAGGCCCTTTGGGCCGAAATGAGCGAAGACTTCAAGAATGTCGTGAGCTACACGACCATGATGAAGGTTCGGTTTAGAGTTTAGGGTTTAGGGTTTAGGGGATGAAGGTTCGGTTGAAGTATAGGGTCTTACTTTCATATGCTTGAAAAGGCGTTTGGGGCAAATGTAAACCAAAATGCGAATATGTACGGGCTTTTGAAATCAGAAAGAGCTACTGGGGAGATCTTATAGTATCACTGTGTAGGCACTGTAGGGGTGCATTAGATGAAGGTGTACGGCAACCTCAAGAGAGTGCACGACGCCGAGAAGCTCTATGAGGAGATGAACTCTAAGGCAGTGACTCCCAACATCGTCACTTACAACACATTGATCCAGGCTTATGGAATGACTTCAGTGGCAGATAAAGCCAGGAGTACTTTCGAGAGTATTCCCGAAGCAGTTTTCGAAGAGGCTGGCTCTCCCAACCGAGAGGCCAGCTACGCAACGGTGATGTTCGCCTATGCTAGACACTTACTTCTCCACTAGCAGCAAGCGTTGCACCTTTTTTTGGGCTTTTAATGTTGAATGATTTCTAGAAGTTTACGTTGCTTGTCCCTTCGGCCACGTGCAAGGACAAGGCGACTACGCTTCCACGCGTGAGCTCTTCATGGACATGACATCCAAAGGAATCCCACCAAGCAGAAGTCATTTCAACGCCCTGATCGTCTCTTGCGCAAAAGATGGGCTGGCTGAAACCGCAAGAGCTGTCTTCGAAATGCTACCGCATTATGACATAGTTCCGGAGGTGGACACATGGACCGCGCTTATGTCTTGCCACCGAAAGGACTTGGAGCAGTGCAAGCGGATTCTTGATGAGATGCTGCAAGCAGGCGTCAGTCCATCTCTTAGTCGCCTTTGCAAAGATCCCAGTAAGCGCACTGGAAGAGCAACTTAAGGCGATCTCCGTTCTGAGTCTCGGCGGGCCTGCTTTTCATCCTCTGACATTAGCACTAAGGTCCATCCGGAATGACATACCAAGAGCTTCTGGATGCACACGTCCGCGCCGGTGATGGACCCGGAGCAAGGGAGATGCTAAAGGACATGTCGAAGTGTCTCAGCAGTCCTGCAAGCAGCCTTTGCCCTTTTTGTTGTAGTAGTAGAAAACCTAATAGCTTATGTAATCTCAAAAGGTTTACCTTTCAGAATCCCACTACAACCCCTACACCGCTAGATTCCTTACCAGCCGAAGCCCCAAACCCTATACATGCTAAACCCCAAACCTTACCTCCTAAACCCTAAACCCTAAACCCTACCTCTTAAATCCTAAACCCTAATCCCTAAACCCTACCTCCTAAACCCTAAACCCTAAACCCTACCTCTTAAATCCTAAACCCTAATCCCTAAACCTTCTACAAAGCCCTACCTCCTAAACCCTAAACACTGAATCTTACATCCTCTGAGGTTTGGTCCCTGGGCGGATGCCCGTGTCACCCTCCGCTTGATATCGGAAGCCTCACGGCTTCCCTGATCTCCCGGTTTTAGGGGTTTAGGGTTTAGGGCTTTAGGGCTTTAGGGGTTTAGGGTTTAGGGGTTTAGGGTTCAGGGGTTTAGGGTTTAGGGGTTTATAGAGTTTCTTTCGACTTTAGACTTAGGGCTTAGGGTCTAAAACTCTCCGAGAGTCGCCTAAAACTGCGGAATAAGGGTTTAGGGCTTAGGGGTTTTAGGGTTTAGGGAAGGAAGAACTCTCAGAGATGGGTTTAGGGAAGGAAGAGCTCTGAGACATGAGCCAGCTTCTCTTTTCTGTCGCGAGGAGGAAAGATGGGGATCCTACTGTTTAAGGCCCTCAAGGACAGGTTTTGTGTCTTTACAAAACCCTGCTCGAACTGCGGGAAAAAGTGGCACCCCAACACTAAGCTGCTATATGAGGGGAGACATGGGTCTCTCTCTGCCGGAGGCAGCTGTGAAGCAGCTTTGCATTGCGAGAAAATGGGCCGATGTTGAAGCAAACCGCCCAAAAAACCGTACACCCTGAACATCTAGATTCTAGACCCTGTACCCAGTAAGCCCTGAACCTAAACTCTAAAGCCTCAGGCCCCTAGGTAGCTCCTTTTTGTGGTTTATATTTAGAATCCTATGAGGTAATCCCGAAAAGGAACTACTTAGGGGCCTAGGGGTAAAGCCTAAAAGCTTTTAAAACTCTACACCCCTACAGGGCTCCAGGCCGGTTCTTTTGCTTTCAGCGCTGATACCGAAGCTCTCAATCCGAAAGTTCGCCAATGTGACGAAGCCCCAATGCTTGTTTGGGCTTTGGGGTTTAGGGTTTAGGGGCCTTTTTTGTGCTTCAGCCCCTGGACGTCCAAACAACCTTGCCAAGGGCTTCAGGCTATTCTGCCTGCAACGTAGAAAGCGAGGGAAGTGGCGGCACGTTGTTCAACCGTTTCGGGCGTAAAGATTTTACAGTTCAGGGTTTAGGAGGTTTTGGGGTTTATGGGCTTGCAGAGTCTTACGTCTTTGGGGGTTCGTTGTGGTTCCAGAGCGCGGGACTGGGCAGTTCTAATTTTCCAGGGAACAATATTCCATACTTAGAGGAAAGAATCCGTCATGTTTATTTAGATGTATATACACATGTGCACATATCGGGGTCTTACAAATTCCTAATCGTATGCTTTCGCCATCCCTTATATAAGTTTAGCACAACCCCCAACCCTTGTCTAATTCGTCAGGCCACTGTCAAAAACCTGATGTCCTGAAATGCTTTTTGGCTTAGACCGCAGAGTGCCACATTTCAACGTGATATAAGGGGCTGAGTAAAGAGTAATGGTATTTGCTACGGCGATCGTAATGAAGTGCGGTCTAGCTGCCCTGACAGCCTTTGAAGATACTCTGACTTCCATAAATTTAGCAGTCATGGAAGCAACGACATCAGAAAGCTGCGATCATCGGTGTGTTGTCATCACCGTCCTGATTCTCACTGATGGCAACGGTTTCCCAGCATCATCATTATGACGGCAGTTGGGTGTTAGCTGTCGCCCTTGATTGCTTCATCCTGCTGTAATTTCCCCCATGCCGATGCTGCCACTGACTATCATGTGGGAGCGCTAACGGCTTCCCGAAAAGGATCCCCAACATATTTTTCAGAATCTTCCGATTTGTAACCCTCAACTCTAAAGCCTAAACTCTTAAACCCCTAAACCATAAGCAAAGAGGCGAGCAGCCAAGCCACGCTAAGCCTCGACGTGTGGCTGGCCGTCGAGTCACTCAGCTGCCTTTCGGAGCTGTCTCTTGGCATTCGGAATCTCCTTTGGGGCTTTAGAAGTTTATGGTTGAGGGTTTAGGGGTTTAGGGGTTTGGAGGTTTAGGTTTTAGGGGTGTAGGGGTTTAGGGTTTAGGGTAATTTTTAGGGATAGTCTAATCTAAGATGGGATCCTGTGGTACTACATAGGATCTATACCCATAGGCTCCATAGTAGTTCCTTTTTTTTATGGTTTATGTTTAGAATTCCATAGGGAAGTCCCCAAAAGGAACCAACTAAGGAGCCTATGGGTAGTTTCTATTGGTATCCCTTATTGTTGAAACTCCCTTGGGCTTTATGAACGAAAGACGTCGAGCAAGGGAAGTCCAGAATTGGGAATGGCGAGCATCAATGACCAAGCATCGGATGCTACGTACGTAGATCGGCGGGATACTTGCACAAGCTATAGCCGCAATTCCGAGTATGGAAACCTCACTTTGTACACTCTATGTAGGTGCCAGGGGCCAGTTGGGATTCCAAGTCCAAACCCGAGTCGGTTTAGGATTTAGGATTCAGGGTTTAGGGTTTCGGGTTTAGGGTCGGGTCTGGTCGTCTGAATCTTACTTCTACATGCTTTCTATCTGCCTTGCTTCCTCAAAGTGCCTAGACCCTTAAACCCTAAAGCCCTGAAATCCAACCCTAAACCCTTAAGCCCAAAACCCTACAGCCCTAAAGCCCTCAAACCCTAAAGCCCTAAAGCCCTTAAGCACGAAACTTTGTGAAGTTTCTGGGTTTGTATATTTGGTCTTTTCTTCAGATTGAGCCTCATGGGGCTTGGTTATGGGAGAGAAGAGTTGGGGTCTGGTTTATAGGGTTTAAGATTTAGGGTGCAGAGTTTAGGGGTTTAGGGTTTAGGGGTTTAGCCTTAAACCCTAAACCCTAAAACCCTAAACCCCTAAACCCTAAACCCCTAAAGCCCCAAACTCTAAACCGGCTCAGGGACTCTATGAATCGGGGTTTGTTGTTGCATCCCCGCATCGCACGGGCAGTGGGCGGTTGTTAGTCTCGGACGTGCGCGCAACAAAAGGGAGCCTTTGAGAGTTGGACTTCCGTTTTTTGAAGTGCTGCTTTAAGGTTTGGGCTTTACGGGCTTTGGGGTTTAGGGCCTTAGGGGTTTAGGGTTTAGGCTTTAGGGGTTTAGGGTTTCGTTTTTAGGGTTTAGGTAGCAGCTTGGAAGCACTTCAGAGCGACCTCGTTCAAAAGGGTTTAGGCTTAGGCCTTAGGGTTTAGGGTGTCGATGTTCAAAGCTCAAGAAGCCACGCGCCTGAAGCCTTCGAAAGCTGAAGGACCGACAAGTCTCGAACCGTGGTACCTGTCGGCCCTCAACCCCTAAACCCTAAACCCGTGAACCCTAAACCCCTGAACCCTAAAGCCCTAAACCCTAAACCCTAACCCCTAGACCGGTTTAGGGGTTTAGATAAGTATTGAATACAGGAACGATAAGAGATTGCATTGCTGATTTGTCAGATTTCTGTATCAGGTGCCTTCTGCTTCGGGAAGCGTCATCAGGTTTGGGTGGTACGGGGTGTCAGGCGCCCTAAACCCTAAGGGCTGGGGCCCAGATGACTCCTAAAACCTAAACCACTAAACCTTAAGCCCTAAACCCCTAAACCCTAAGCCCTATCAACCCCCAGCCCTATATACCCTAAACCCTAGACTTAGGAGCTGAATTACTACACTTTACGCCTTTTGGGATCATATGATCCCTTACAGAACAGAAAGTGTACACCGTTTTGTGCTTATGAACTCAAAGAACTAAGTAAACTCAAACCATAAAACTCATAAAACCGTTTGGAAGGCGCAGCTGAACCGAACCCCGCTCGCCCAGGTCCATGTGTTCGTCCAAGCTTTCTCATCTAGCTACCCACAGGCTCCTTAGTAGTTCCTTTTTGGGGGTTTCCTTATAGGATTCTAAATATAAACCATAAAAAGGAAATATAAACCATAAAAGGGAACTACTATGGAGCCTATGGGTAGTTTCACCAACGCCGATTTACGACCAAAAGCCTCGTCTGCATTTGTCTGAGTGTGAGAGCCCTAAACCCCGAACCCCAAACCGTACTTGGAGGTTCATGGGTAGTTATAAGTGGGGTTGTAAGTAAGGTAACTATAGTTATAACCCATATTAGGGGACTTATTGTCATACTTATAACTACCCATGAACCTCCAAGTAGACCCTTACACCTGAACCTGAAGCCGCAAGGTACAGCAATCTGGGGATAAAGCTGATGGCTTTCATCGGGCGGCCTTTCCGCATGTCATACCTCAACCACCAAAACCGTCCCTGTGTTCATCATTTTTGCTCCAGGGAATCATACGGAACCCTGAAACATTATTAGGCTATGTAGAATTCAGGTAGGCTACAGGCTAACTCCTCTCTCCGGGTGGCTCAAGAGCGATGAAGCGGGAGACTTCGCACTTGCATATGGCTGTTGACCCTGCCTGAACCTACCAAAACCCACTTTTTTTTGCAGGCTCTTATAATAAACCCTAATATGGGCTTTATGGGGACCCTACTAAAAAGTAGGTTCTGGTGGGTTAAGGTACACCCTATCTTCTTCAGGAATCGTCAGATGAAGCTGGAATGTGCAAGGGTGGCACATACACAAGGCCAAAAGTGTGCCAGGTCGTACCCCTCAATCTTCCCCTGCCCATAGGCTCCATTGTAGTAGATCCTCTTTTAGGATTACCTTATGGGATCCTCAAAAAAATAAAGCCACAAAGAGGAACTGCAACGGAGCCTTTGGGTAAGCCCTAAACCGTTTCCTCTGAAGTCTAGAAGCACTAATGTTGGGTTCTTGCTAAGGGATTTAATGTAAGCTACCATAATAAAGAAACAATATTATTTTATTATAGGTCCCTATTATGATCATTTATATAAAGTACATCCTTTAACAAGAAACCCCAGAGTAGTAGAGAAGCTTCATGGTTCAACAACAAGCGACAGAGAACCACAAGAGGCCTTCGCCTCCCATATAGCCCATATAGTATCTGTATAGACGCATATACACATATATCTATCTATCTATCTGTATAGTTGAATATTGACGCAAGCACGGCCAAAATGCCTTTGCTTCTTTCGCTTTCAGAATTCATGCTTCGTCCTTCAGGCGTCATGCCGGGCCGTTACGCCATTCATACAGTCACCTTCCAAACATCTCGTCCTCCAACCCTTCTTCCAGACTCTTGTCCCGAACCTTACAAACAACCGAAATCCAACCCCTAGGATACCGATGTTCTTCATCTTCGGTGCCCTCCACCGCTACTGTGGGCACGGTGATCTGGAAAAGACAGATCTCCTTGTCCCTTGCCTTGGTGGTCTTCTGCGATTCGATTTGTAATCCGTCGTGCAAGTATGTATGTACGTATGTACGCATCTACGAACTGTACGAACCTGCTCTCGTACGTGATGGTGCTGGCGCCGATAACGGTGTTCATAGCGATGACAATGACTAAAACCGTGATGGACTACAGGCCCCTGTTACTATAAGGCCCTTATACAGCCCTTAGCAAAACAAAAAAAGCGTTCTCCAGCTTCTGTGAAGCTCACAAAGCCCTTACTAACCCTTATTCGTCCCTTGTTGGAGCCCTACTTGTATTGTGGCTGGAGTGGACAACATCCTGCATTCCCCTCACAGAAACGAATATGCCACTGTTTTCATAGCCTAGGCCCTTGATGGTAATGTAATGCAGGTTTTTGTTCGTCAGCCGCACACCTAAAACTTAAATTGCTGAACCCTAAGCCAAACAACAAACACCTGTCGAACAGAAGTTCAAATCAAGGAGAGCCTGTCCATCCGAAATGTTCACGGAGTCGGCCCCTTCTCTGCCCTCTGCAGTTCCAGCTCTGTTCTGTAAATGGTTGGGAGTTTTAGAGTTTATTGTTTGGGATGGGTAAAGTATCGAGGTAAGGTTTTGAGGGTTTAAAGCTTCGGGCTGAAAGCTAGATTTTAGGTTGTGAGTTGTGAGTCTAGGATGTAGGCCAGGTGTATAAAAAAAAAAAGGATGTAGGGCACAGTTGCTATTTTGCGATGCAGGGATTACGGTATGGTCTTGGGTCCACTGTTGCTTGTTTTGGCTAGGATTCGAGCGAGAGATCACGAGATCAGGGTTTAGGGTTTAGGGTTTAGAGTCCGGAGGCTTCTAGCTTAAAGCTGTGGGCTTCGGGAGTGCCTCTTGTTTCTGTCCTGGTTGAGTCGCTGCAAACCAGATGCAAAACGGCTTAGCGGTTTATTTAGGCGATGATGAGGTATTGCGCAGCTTTACGGTTTCGTGTCTTCTTGAAGGATCATGGCACCTCAGTTTTGATTGAGACGCCTGGGGCGAGGTTTATCTCAATATTGTAGCCGCTGTTATAACCTACTCACTGGCCGCTTAAGCCTTTTGTGCTCGATTTGGGGTTCTGATTAATCCGAAAGCCTGAGTGATTAGAAGGCCCAAACCCCATTCCAACTATTGAGGCCCCATTTCGAAGGTTTCTCTCCCCAAGGTCCCGAAACCCTAAACCCAAACCCTAAAGTCATCTTGAGGCCACCGAAGCAAATGAGTCCTTCTTAGCTAGCTCTCTAGACATCTCCGACCCTGGGGTCCCTTGCTTAGTACTGCAAAATCGGTGTCGACGACACTGCTGCTACTGCGGTTGATGATATAAACCCTGCATTACCCATAATGAGGAATATACCATAATTCCCATAGTTTAGGGTCCTTAATATAATGCAGGATTGGTATCATCAACAGTATGATTAAGACCTACTGTCACCTGCAGCAACTTCTGCATTTGCATCCTCCTGCTGTTGCTGTTTTAGAAAACCAGAGACTATACCAGTCTATGAGGTTGGATCTACTACCTTCACGGCATTTGTGCGCTCTGGGTGGTTCTGCTGGTTCGGTCCATCGTTTTCAAGGCTCAGGACCTCTGAGACGGACTTGCGTGTACTGTAGACCCATGATTACCCCTCCCTAAACGATGGGTTTAGCGCATATCCTCAGATGAACGCCGTTGCAGAAACAGAAGGGAACGCTATGAAGGCTTGTATTTCTAGCTCACTGTGTTCTGCCATATTCTCCGATTTTCGATGCGCCGGTTCAAGAAAACATGGTACAGTAGTCGTGGTATTTGTGGTTGTTGTCTTTGCAGGGGGAGCAAGAATAATAAGGGTTTCAACACCTTGGAGAGAGAGCAGTCTAGAGGTATAGCGAAACATGAGAAAGAGCACTAACATGGTCACCAGAGGAAACCGATAGGACAGCAGCGGCGTGCAGGAAAGATATCTTCAGCGACGTTTCGCTTGGCTGAAGAGCTTACCTTGCCCGAGGCCGGTTGCAGAATGCCAGATGTGGGGTTGCAAATCCCGGGTCCCTAAAAGCCTATAGTTATACCCGAAACAAAATACACTAGGCACCTAAAAGACACTGAACTCCTCAACTGCCCATAAACATCAAGTCCAAACCAGGAAACTGTATGTGAGCATGCAGTCGTGTCGTTCTTTAGTTGACCAAAAAGTGAGTGTGGGTATCACGATGGAGTTGTGTTCGCGAAACCTTCCCCACCGGTGCAGGCGGCGGTTCCATAGCCCGCTCTGGCACGGTGTACACTTGCAGTTAACCTCACGGTCCTTCCCCGGCCGCATCCTGCGACGCGCGCGATCCATTTCAGGTTCCACTAAGCTGGCGTGGTCCAACTTCGTAGATTGCGATTTCGCCACAGTCCCATGCATATGTTGAGGCATGTTTGAAGTCTTGGATTTTTGGATCACCGGCGGGGCTTCGTCGAGTTCTGCTCGCGGTCAGCCGGTGTATGGCCCTGTATGCAGTCTTGGTCAATTTCTCGGGTGTAGGGCATCCGGTTTAGTTTAAAATGCCCAGGGACCCCAATCCAATAATCAAGAAATTTGTCAGGTTTCATTCATTTTGGGGCTCTCATATGATGCTTTCTTGGGTATCCAGGCTTTAGCAGTTTCGGGATATTGGATTCTGGAGAGTCCCATGAGCTCCTTGCATCAAACTCGAATGCAACCATTCATTATACAGACCTTAAGGATTTCCTATACTATTTTGGGGGTTTCTTTATTATGATTCTAGTATATTATACCTCAAAACCCCATTCTAGTTATCGAGGCCCCCTATATTACAGGAGTTCTTCTTGCGCCTCGAGTGTGGGAAGCGTGAACTGTTTCCCTTCCCTCTTGAAGTTTCTAAGGCAGCTATCATATGCAGGGCCAATGTAGGGTTATATAAGTTGTTATAAACACCTGCATTTGCTGTAAACTATGTAGAGGGAGAGGGAGAGGCTATAGCCGCCCTACTTATAGCTTTGTTTCTGACCCACGCAGCACACTGGAAAGCCGATGACACCCTGCAAAGTCCCCACGACAGTTCCAGAGACCCAAATCAAGCTTTCAGCACCTGATACCCCCAACCCTAAACCCTACACTGGGCCCTACACTTTTACACAGACAGAACCCTCGGGGCCCAGGGGATTTAAGAGGTCCAGGTTTCAAGGGGTGTTGTGCCCAGGTTTCAGGGCTTGAAGGGAAAAAACCCTGAAAAAGGCCTCTATTATTAAACCCTAAACCCTAAACCCGAGACCCTATAAACCCTAATCCCCTGAAACCTACGCCTCGGAAACCCGCGGGGCCCCCCTCACCGCCATGCCCAGATGCAGCACCATCCTCGTGGAGGGCATACCAGAAGAATATCGCTCCGAGGACCTCAAAGAGAAACCCTAAACCCTAAAGCCTAAGCCCTAAACCCTAAACCCTAAAGCCTAAACCCCCTTCTGAAAAGGATCAGGGTTTCGGTTTTTGTGGGATCGATAAGGGTTCCATAACAGTTCTGCTTGTGTTTCAGCAGAGGGTAAGGCACTTCGTAAGTAGGATTTAGAATGTAGTAAACCAGTAAGTAGCTTTCTGTGTATCTGCTGACGTATACTTGTAATTGGTATTCGAAACTTTAAACCCTAAACCCACTTGTAAGGCATGAATAAGCCTGATGCAAGGCCCGTGAGGCAGCGATCCTCGGTTCAGGGTTGGTGTTTGAGGGTTTTAGTCATCGTCATTTTTGTTGTCAAGGGTTTTATGTTTAGGGTTTAGGGGTTGGGGATTTGGCGGTAACGGTTTCAGGTTCTGGGCACAGGACTTAGCAAGCAGGGCAAGTTTATGTTGACAAGTAACCTCAATGAGTGAGGTTATCCCACCTACTTATAATGTTTCTTTGAGGTACGGAGGTTGATTAACCAGCAGTTGACATCAAACACCATGTTCGGGCTCGGTTCCCCCCCCCCAAAAAAATTGAAAGTATAAGTACTATACCAAAGCCGTAACTCATATCAACTCAAAGTGGTTGAGTTTGGCAAGTGGAGTTTGCGCAAGGGTTTCCAAATCCAAAACCCTCATCAGAGAGGATCGGGTGCGTCAGTTCTTCTCTGCCACTTTCGATGCGCGAGTGATGCAGGTGAACATGGCTCCTCGTCCTTGCGCGAGGGTTTAGGATTTGAGAGTGTCATAGGGTGTTGGCAGGTTATGAGGGATGCCAGTTTTCAGGCTGCGCAGGGTTGACGGGTTTCAGTCTTGCCAGTGATGAATCCTAGGGCGTTTTGGAGTCATCGTGGAATGTCAGAGTGTAGCCTGAAGCATCGCGGATCCATGCGTGCTGCAGCAACCAATAAAGGAAAAGGCACTAGCTCCCACAGATTTGGGTACTGTGCCCAAAGATGTAATGCAAGAGTTTGTCAGCCAACAGTACAATATCCCAGCTATAGTTCCTACACTGCCCTACACGTCCCTCTGGAGTTTAAGTATAGTGTGGCTACATGTATATGTACTTAAAAATGTATATACATGTATGTGTAGGTATGACTACGTGAACAAAGACAAATCCAACGAAATGTATATCTATATATATATAGAGAGAGAGAGAGGGACAGAGAGGCAGGTGTGTGTGTGTATATATACACATATATGTACGTACAGATGCTTGAACATACATAAAATTACAGGAAATTGTAAACATATCGCACCCCCCGCAGCATCTACATGTATGCGCTCCGAGTCTGGATCGCGTCGGTACAGGAATCTTTGCTTCGAAGACGAAGGTGAGGGTTTGACCGCTTACAGACTGTAAGCAGCCAATGGCGTATATATAATGGCATAGATAGATAGATAGATAGATAGATAGATAGATAGATATATATATAGATATAGATATAGATATAGATATAGATATAGATATAGATATAGATATAGATATATATATATAGAGGGACTGTCAGGGACTTCTCATACTTATTTATTATTTGGGCTTCTGTTTCATCGTTTCGATTTCGGGGCCTCGGGCTGAAGGCTGCTACCGAGGTAGCAGTAGGAATGAAGAGCCAGGGAGAAGAGAAAGAGCGCTTGTTGGCTCAAGGTTTGCATTCGTCGATTCTACCGGTGGCAGGTTTTATCTCAAGCATGCGAAGGCCCTTACGAAGGCCTCGTAAGAACCTCAAGTCTTGGAGAGCTTTTCTGGTTGTAGGGTTTAGGGTTTAGGGTCTGGTTGTAGGGTTTAAGTTTAGGTTCTGCGGTTTAGCATTGAGGATTGAGGGAGCTGTTTTTGTTGCGGCGGCGCATGGCGTCGTCGGACCTCCTGGCTTACGAAGGTCGTTTGGATGGACACCGGGCTGGCATCACCGCCTTGTCTTTCTCTGAGGTGTGGGATGGGGGCTCGCTTCAGTGGCCGGGGTTCAGGATTTTTTGGGTTTCTTTGTTTAGGAGTTCAGCTTGTTCCCTGAGGACGGCAAGAAACTCTTGACCGCGTCGAACGACCGGACGCTTCGTGTCTGGGAGGTGCGCGACGACACTGCAGTGACTGCAGACGGTTCCTTTAAGAAGGGCCCCGTGGCCTCCACGAAGAGAACCCTTCGAGGGCACAGCGACGTCGTGTCCCAGGCCATACTGGAAACTGGGTCCTGGGTTATTGTTGAAGTAGTGCCAATCATTATGATATACTATCATAAGGAAAGCATAGTGCTATTCCCATTATGGTTTTCGTAAGTCCTCTTGCTGAAGATTCACCCAGGAAAGGGGCGGAAACTTCGTGCTATCCAGTTCCTGGGACCGGACTGTCAAGCTCTGGACTCTGGATGAAGACGAGGACGAACCTTGTATTCGCACGTTTCGCGGCCACGAGCACCAAGTGAATGCAGTGGTGTGGTCGCCAGACCATCGGATAATCCTCACAGCCTCGTGCGACAGAACAATCAAGGTCTGGAACAACCTGGGAGAGTGCAAGTTCACCATTGGTTATGATGAGTGCCACAAAGACTGGGTCACGGCTGTGGTCTGGGGTGACAAGGCCGAGTCTTTGCTCTCCGCCAGCTGGGACAAAACTGTGAAGCTTTGGGACGCCAAGAACATGAAAATGTTGTGGGAAACGAAAGCTCCTGAGTAGCAGAGTAAGCAATTTTCAGGCTCAGCAAGTGGGGCTTTAGGGTTTAGGGCAGTAACCTTTGACTTCTTTGGGGTACCATAATCCTCGTACCTAAACCCGAAACCCTGAACCTAAACCCTACAACATGTCCGTTCCTTCTAGGCCACCAAAGAGAAGTAAGGCTCACACTGCACCGGTGCTCGCCGTTGCCGTCTCCCCGGATGGTTCCATCGGCGCCTCAGGGGGAGCTGACCGTACCATCCTCCTCTTGGACTTAAAGGGGATGCTGGGTTTTGGAGTACCATACTTGAATGCATTTTTTTGGGACTTGTTCCCTAAAGGAACGAAGACATAAAGAAGTCTCTATTTTCTTCTCCCTGGTTACTTCAAAGTCAAGGAGGTGTGTCGACTATGCCTTCCGAGTCGATGGGATCATCCGTGGGCTGGACTTTAACCCCCTTGAGCTGCGGCTGGCAGCAACTGGGCCCATCCTAAAAAAAGTGAGCTTCAGTTGCTCTACCAGAGCTGTACAGTGGCAAAATCATGTTCTCTTGGTTAGGGTAGATGACCAATAATATTTACAAAAGGGTTCGATGATAAATATATAAGTATGTTACTTTTCTCATGCACCTAAAAACCCAAGGCCATTACCATATATGTATATATATATATGTATATATAGGTATGTTACTTTCCTCATACACCTCAAAACAAAAAGCCCAAGGCCATTACCGAGATGTCGCCGAGTGGAAGAGTGGTGCAGGTCTTTGATCTCTCGGCGAAGACTTGCCTGCAGAGCCTCAGCCCGCCGGGTGAGGGCCTCGCCGGCTTAGCAGTGACTGGCTCGCCCAGGTTTCGGGTTTTAGGGTTTTAGGATTTAGGGATTAGGGTTTAGGGTTTTAGGATTTAGGGATTAGGGTGTAGGGTTTTAGGATTTAGGATTTAGGGTCTAGTTAAAGGAAACTACAGGTGGGGAGTTTAGGGTATATAGGGCTTCTATAAGGTATATAGACCTTCTTGTAAGGCCCCTATAACGGTAACTACCCACCTGAACATGTCCCAGACGTAGTACCCAAAATTATGCCCTTGTCGCGTTGGGGTTGTCCTGTATAAGAACCTTATAAACCGCTGCAACATCTTGTGAAGCCTTAAAACCAGACACCTATAAACACCGAGTAAAACCCTAAACCCTAAACAACCGAGGTGAAATGGGATCCGCAAGGCCGACGCCTCTTCGGGGGCTTCTCCGACGGCTCCCTGCACGTGTGGCGCAGCAGATGAGATTTCGATGCAAGCATCCTACGGTTGATGATATAAATCCTGCATTACCCATAATAAGAAAATATACCATAATTCCCATAGTTTAGGGTCCTCAAGGTAATGCAGGATTTACATCATCAGCCGTAGTGTCTCGGCGCGTGTGTGGCTGCTACAGCGCAGCCATGCCGTGCACCTGCTGTTGCCATCGGATCGAAAGTGCTACCTGTGTCAGCTGGTCGTCGGTTTAGGAGAAAGGGTTTAGTCACCTCAAACCGCGATATAGGGGTCGGAATATTAGTAGTGCAGCTCCTTGATGGCTCCTATGTTCCCCGAACAGCGTAATAGACTCAGGGTCAACCCCACGCCGAGCAGGGGAACAAGGAGCAAAGAAGCCCTAGCCTTAGATCACTCTGCTCCGAAGCTCAAACCCCGAAAGCTTTACATACCCTAAACCGGCCTGTTAACTGTGGTTCCGAAACTCTTGTCATGTTCATGTAGCAAGCTCGAACCGTACCCGCCATGCCTGCTTTGCGAGTGTGTGAGTCGAAACCCAACAAAATCCGAAAAAGGCAAGGCTGCATATACTCCCCGAAGCAAAGACATGCAAAGCCCGTGCCCAGGTCCGGCACACACAGCTACTGGATCAGCTTTCATCCGAGCCTTGGTGGGTTCAGCTTCTAAGGCTCCGTGGTAGAAGAAGGTAACCGTTCGCTTTTAGGGGGTGCTTAAATCTTACGTCCCTATATAATCGCAAAGGTTACAATATAGCTTTCCGATGGCATATTGGACAAGTAAAAGAGACTGTCACTGTTGGAGGAATGATGCATACCCTAAACCCTACTTGGAGACCCAGGGGACTTAGTAAGTGGTTTAGAAGTAGAGTTATAAGTACCCTAAATGGAGTTGCCCTAATTCTGACCCTACTTATAACCGACTTACTAAGTCCCCTGGGCCTCCAAGTAGGCCTAGGCCCGACAGCCAGAAGCCCTCCACTCCCACAAGGTTTTAAGCTAAGTTTCTTAGTTATGCTACTTGGTCCTTACCACGCAAAAAAGTGCGAAGTAGGTATGTTCTGTGGTTAATTTGGACCCCAAGTTCGCTATTGTTTCTGTATGCTTGTGTAGTTTTGGTGGGTTGTTAATGCCGTTCCTAGAACTCTCCATCCCACCCTCTTTCGCACAACAAGTGCCTACTATTACGGGCCGGAAAGCCGTATGCAAGGGTAATGTAGGTGCCAAAGTAAATGCCAATACTATTTTTGCTCGGGTGTTCCTCATTATGAGTATTGTACAAGATTCCCCCCCCCCCCCAAGCCTTATTCTAATTATTAAGGCCCCTGAACCCTCAAGCCTACACTCTAAGCCCTAAGCCCTATTCTACTGATTAGGGCATTTCTAGTGGAGGCACCGGTCTTGCAGCCTTTCGGGCCCCCCCGGCAGACCTTCAACCTAGAGCTCTATAGAGCCTATAAATCCTACACCCTGCAAGGCCCAGATCCTCAAACCCTAAACCCTAAACCCAAACATCTGCTTTCGGGATCATGCGCGATGGAACAGGGCCGTTCCTAAAAAAGGATAACAAAAAAACACCCTAAACCCTAAGAAGCCTCGAATCCTCAACCCCTAAACCCCAAGCCGTTGAAGTCGTAGGTTTTTGTTGTCTCCTTTTTCACTAAACTCTAAAGCCCTGTACCGTACCTAAACAACCCAAGCCGAAGCCATAAACCCTCAGACACTCAAACCCTAGCACCCTCAAGCCCTAAGCCCTACCTGTGGCCCAAAGAACCTACCCTTTTTAAGGAAATATATTTATATTATATATATATATATGAATATACAGATATATATATATATATATATCTGTGTATATATATATACACACACGCACATATAGAAAGCATAATAAGGAACCCCAAAAGGGTAGGTCTTTTCGGCCACAGGTAAGCCCTGAACACCCGGAAGCCCAACATTGGGAAGACCCCCTGAACCCCAAAAGCCCCCGAAGCCCAAAAGGCCTAAACCCGAAAGCCTTAAAGCCCTAAACCCTCAACCCTAAACCCCCAAGCCCTAAAGCCCTAAACCCTAAGCCCCTAAAGCCCTAAACCCTAAGCCCCTAAAAACCCTAAGCCCCTAAAGCCCTAAAGCCCTAAAACCCCTAAAACCCCTAAAAACCTTAAAAGACACCACTGCAACTTAAAAAAAAAAACGAAAGAAACACTAAACCCTAAAACCCCTAAAAACTCCCAAGCCTCCAAGGAGCACTTGGTCGCCAAAGGTCGGCTGAGGCAGTCGGAGCGGCTCCTGGAACCTCGGCCTGGGTCGTCTCCTTTGGGTTTGAGGAGTTTAGGGTTTTAGGGCGTTTAGGGTTTAGGGGTTTGTAGGGCTTAGGGTTTAATTTATCCTTTGGGTTTGGGGAGTTTAGGGGTTTTGGGCTGTAATTGTAGGGTTTTAGGATTTTAGGGCTTTGAGGGGTTTTAGAGTTTAGGGAGTTTAGTGTTTAGGGGTTTAGGGGCTTAGGGTTTATAGGGTTAGGGGTTAGGGTTTTAGGGTTTGGGTTGTAGGGCTTTAGGGGTTTGGGGAGTTTAGGGTTTAGGATACCCATAATACGGAATATAAGCAGATTTTGGGGTTTAGAGTTTAGGATACCCATAATACGGAATATAAGCAGATTTTGGGGTTTAGAGTTTAGGGAGTTTAGGGTTTTAGTGAGTTTAGGGTTTAGGGGCTTAGGGGTTTAGGGAGTTTAGGGTTTAGGGATTTAGGGGTTTGGAGTTTAGGGCGTTTAGGGTTTAGGGGTTTATAGGGCTTAGGGTTTAAATTTATAGGGTTAAGGTTTAGGGTTTAGGGGGTTATAGGGTTTATAGGGTTTAGGGGTTTAGGGTTTAGGGGTTCAGGACTTAGGGTTTAGAGGTTCAGGGGTTTAGGGGTTTAGGGTTTATAGGGTTTAGGGGTTTAGGGGTTTAGGGTTTAGGGTTTATCGGGTTTAGAGTTTAGGGGTTTAGGGGGTTAGGAGTTTAGGGTTTAGGGTTTGGGATTTTAGGGTTTAGGTCTTATATAAGGCTTCGTTCTTGCACTTAACTCAACCAATACCGTCATAGAAGGGTTCCTCATTTTTACAAATATGATATACTACGATTGATGACAAAAATCCTGCATTACCTTACGGACCGTAAGCTATGGGAAGTATGGTATATTCCTTCTTATGGGTAATGCAGGATTTATATCATCAACCGTATCATGTACGCCCAAAATCCCCACTTTCAGCCTGCAGCCCTGAAGCCATGAGCTTTTGCCGCTAGGACTACCGAGCCCCCCGAATCTTAGGAATTTCGGGGCCTAAGCTAAGTACACTAATACCATTCCTTTAGGTTTAGGGCTTTGAGGGCTTCGGGTCAGCGGAGGCCTGGATGCGAAAAAAGGGTTCAGGGTTTTCTATATGTAGAACCTAAGGTACCCCCCAAACCCTAATCTAATTATCAAAGCCCCTTCATCGTGCTTTATGCTCTGGTCTAACCTGCCCCGGCAGCTCCTCATGATCATCTCATCTCCGTTTCGTGCACCCTTTTCTGAAGGAGAGAGACGGCAGCCGCCCTACGGCCCGCCTGCGCTTTGCTGGAGAGCCTGTGGACGCCATCAGCTACTTCTTAGGCGGGGCCGAGCTCGTGTACGATCGAAGATACCATGCCATAAAAAGGGAAGCTCAGAATTTACTGGAGATTCCTTTTTATGGTAACCTTAGGGAGGTATTGGGCTCGAGGTTCTGCTGATCAAGATTTGCGCATTGTTGCTCGTGGGCTGCCTGAGTTAGCTGGCAGACCCTAAACCCTAAACCATTTGGAGAAGAGCTCTCTCCGAGCCTTCGCAGATGGCGCAGGGCTGGGTGTTATGGCCCGGGTTTTGGACATGGGCGGGGTTGTTCGGATCTTTTAAACCTGATATCACAGCCCGAAGCAAATTGAAACCGAATACTCTGTCCGCTACTCACCTGAAGAAAGCCCAGCCACAAGCACGTCAAGGTCCCGAGACGCGAAGCCATATAAACCTGAACCATCCTTGAACCCAAAATCCAAGGTTGAAACCATGGGCCCCTAGTATGGGCCCTTAACCCTGGGATCCTTATACAACTGCTATATACCCTATATGTACCTTAAGGGTCTGTAGAAAGGCCTAAGGGTCCATATTAGGGGCCCATACTTCTAACCTTTGACAAAAACCTTCAGAAACTATCAGCCCGGAAAGCTGCAATCTTCCAACCACACTTCCAATCACCAGTCTTCGAAAATCCCGAGTACATAGGGGCCTGAAGAATTAGAAGAGGGTTTGGGGAGAGATTGAACGGTCCAAATACAGTTGCTTAGACAGACAATGGGAGAATTTTAAATTTTAAACCTTTATGGCCTGATATATAGGATTTAGGGTTTAGGGTTTAGGGTAGATTTGGCCTATCGAATCGAAAGCAGTTTGACCTTTCCTGGGCCCGGGCATTGAAGAAGAGAGATTAGCAAGGAACCCTAAGGGAATGATATTGGTAATTATTCTGCTTAGCCCATGGGAGAAGTTTAATTTTTTTGGCCTTATATTTCTTATTTATGTTCGAAAGTTTAAACTTTTTGGACTCAGTAATCTTGGAAATTCGATCCACGACCCTAATCTGCCTTCAGCAGTAGTCTTACTCGTCACGGACGTGAGGCGAGATGCAGGACAAGCACCAGCTCGTCCAACAGGAGCAGTAAGCTTAGGATGATTCTATTCCTAATCTTGTTGCCATTGCGCTGTTATTGTTACTCATGCCCTCCTTCTTAGAGTTGTTAGTGTTATTATATCCAACGGCTTCTTGTTACCGATCTATGCTGCCATGACGACCCATGTCTGCGTTACCGCTCTGATTCTGATACTTATCCTGCTACATGCATGGAACTGCTGACGGTCGGGCCAGGCACTTCTGCTTTGAGATATGAGTCTAGGGCTTAGGGTTTAAGCTTTATCACAGTTGCGTAAGATTTTGCGTTTGGTGGGTACTTAAACTCAATCTAAGGAATAGCAGCTTAATTTTTGATACTATCCCAGCCATGGACTAGTAAGGAGAATATACTCTACTTGCATAGGCATGCAACCCCCGAAGTCTTACATCCATGCACAAGAGAAACTCCGGACCCCCTGAACAATGCAATGTGCTTTAAGCCTGCCTTGAACCATATGGGTAGTTCTCTAACGCAGGTTCCCTTTTTGGGGGTCCCCAATGTAGTACGGCACCCTTATAAAACGGACCCTGAAAGGGACCTTAATTTAGATATCTACCCATATTCAGGATCTCTTTGTCGTCTAAGGTAGCTTCACAGTCTATTCGCTCATGTAGGGGTTGTGATGGAGGGCGTAGGGTTTGAAGGGGTTTCGGGGTTTCGGGTTTAGGGGTGAAGGGGTGTCGGGTTTGAAGGGGTTTAGGGCGCAGGGTTTGAAGGGGTGTCGGGTTTGAAGGGGTGTAGGGCGCAGGGTTTGAAGGGGTGTCGAGTTTGAAGGGGTTTCGGGTAGGGTTTGAAGGGGTTTAGGCTCTGGGGTCTCTCATCACAGGCATGAGAGTCTGTGTTTTTATAAGCTACGGGTCGAGGACATCCAGGCCAGCTTCGTATGTAAAAGGGGTTGCCTGAAAGTATTGTCTTAGGCTCGATTGCTAGACTCCTAGACACTTCATCGTGTGTTGTTTCCAGGCGGGCAGAAGTTCTACAAATTCCCAAGTTCCTAGCCAGATTCTGGTGAATCTCTTGGTTTTTTCCGGCTACCGGCAGAGTATGGCACCCATGAGGAGCAGGCCAGAATACCCTAAACCCCTAAACCCCCAAACCCTAAACCCCTAAACCCCTAAACCCTCAAGCCCTAATTCCTATCACTCTCAGCCCCAGGAGCAGGCCCGAATACGACAGGAATCGGCCTCGCTGGGCGGCGTGAACTCGCACTGTGCCTTCGTCACCTTCGGCACGCGCCAGGATGCTGGGCTCTACTTCAAGAACTTTTTTTTTCAGGGTTTAGGGTTTAGGGTGGTTTAGGGTTTAGGTATAAGATAGCCTAGTAAGGAAGTCTAGTAAATAATATTGCTTCCTTACTATAGTGTCTTGAATTATCAGCTCCTTGACACCACCCAAGGATGCTGCGATCGCGAAAACTTTGGATTTCAGCCAGGACTGCGCGATTTGCACATGGTTTTTGATTGAAGCCTCTTCAGCACAGCAAGGGTTTAGGGTTTGGGAACGTACCAATTTGGAGGTTCTGCTGTCCAGATCCTTTCGGAGGTTTGGAAGGATTTAGGGTAGAGGCATCAAGGACGCTGGGGTTTAGCATTGGCGTTGCCGCTGGCGATCTTTTTCTGTTTTTGTCCAGCTTCTGCGTGAAACGTTATGTCCCGAAACCTCCTTTCATTCATTGCACTGCAAGAAGAAATGCGCAGAAACGACATACACGCTGTGCAGCGCAGCGCCTAGAAAGTCAAAGGCATCTACCTTGAATGAGGGTAGGCTGTGCCGTGGTTCAGTCGAACAGCCATACACTCCTTACGTATCGACCGACCACTATAAGGTAAGGCTAGGACCCCCATCCAAAATGCTGACGAGACCCCTCTAGAACCACAACCCCTACTAGCGGGTACTTGGGGGGGGGGGGGGGGCTTCTCTCTCTCTGCAAAACTTCCGAAATCAACTAGTTGAAAAGCTTCCTGTAGCTCTCCGCCAGTTTACGAGCAAACCGTGTCAGAGTCTGCACCTTAGAACCCCAAAAGCTCTCAAAAGATCCCGACAAAAAAATCCCTTCAGACCCTCATGCAAGCTTTCGTCTCGAGAGAAGCCAGAGGACGGAGGACACTGGGTGCCCAGAGAACCCAATACCCCTTACTTAAGGAATATGCCTTAAACCATAATAATAAGGCCCCTATAATTTAGGGTGTATTCCTTAATTAAGGGGCATTGGGTTCTCTGGGTGATCAGGCTTAAACCTCCAACCCTCCACAGAGGACGGAGGACACTGGGTGATCACCGACGCCCCCGAAGTCTCCACGATCTGCTGGGGGAAGCTGTCAACAGAGCCCACACTTCTGCGAACGGTGAGCGGTGCTTGGGCAGGTTTGGGCAAATCTAGGGTTTGTAATCTGGGATGTCGGGCGTAGGCCGCGGGTGCAGAGTTCAGGGTTTAGGTTTCGAGGGTATTCGGTTTGGGATTTTGCTTTGAGGTGATACGGCTCAGTGTGTTTACCTCAAGTTTAGGATTTCGAGGTCGCGGTACTATGGACCATTGAATAGGTCTTTCGATTATTATACAATATCCCAGTTCTCTGTTGTAACGATGAAGGCCCTTCCATTGCAGAATTTCTAGCGCGATGACAAGATTGGGCCGAACCCACCGCGCAGAAGCTTGCATGTACTTTCTTTGTTCTGGCAATCAGTCCCCATCTCAAGTCCTGGTGCTTTCATTGGGACTTGTAGATACTATAGTAGACTATAGCCCTAAACCCTAGTAACTTAGGGCTTGAATGCAAGCCTCACATGCTAGGATCCTGGTTATAAGGACCCCCGACCCCATTTTTTCAGCCGGTTGACCGCGCAGGCTAGTGTTTCTTTAGGTTTGGATTGTTCAGAAAACTCGCGGATTTTCAAAAAGACCCGAAGACTGAAATGTAGGATCCACAACGTAACGGCTCGTCAGAGTAAAACACTCCAAAAGCTCTTACGAACCCCTGAAGTTGTGTTCGCGAGATATAGAAGCACATGTTTTGCTATACTGTTTCATGCGACTATGAGCTTGAGCTTCAAGCCTAAAGCCCTCCATCCTACAACTGGGCTCCTCTCAACACACTTCGTAGACCCTTCTTGATCAAGGAAACATGTTATTTCAATCACTTGGCTAGGGCTACTCCTTGCAACTTGGATGATTAAATGGAGTGAGCCCTGATACCTGCACTGACACTGACCCCCTGGCCCGGCCCCAACCCTAAGCCGTGACTAAGCCTAGAAAGGTATCCTGCTCATCACTTTTCTCTATGCGGGCTTCACCCCCATCTGCGTTGCCATCTCCACCCTGGCACAGAGCTTGGACCTAGGCTCCAAACCCTTCAGGGGGGGAGAGGGGGCACATGACCCCTGCTAGAACTTAAGGACTAGTCTAGACCCCTAGTGCAAGGAGGTGCCCTCCCCTTTAGAGGGATCAGAAGAAAAGGATCTGTGGAACCTAATACCAGAATACCATTTCCGGCTCTCAAAGCAAAGATGTTCATTATATAACCAGGGCCTTCCGTGATTCCTGAGTAAAAATATCCCACTCGGGCTCCCTGAACTCCGGAAATAGGCCCCTAAGCCGGAAGATCCCTGAGCCCCTAAGACCCGACATCCTGACAGTCCCTAGCCTCATACTGCTGCCGCCTGAGTGATACTGTTGATGATAGAGATCCTGCATTACCATATAAGGACCCTGAAGTATGGTAATTATGGTATGTTCCCTATTATGGGTTATGCAGGATTTATATCATCAACCGTAGCCATAAGCTTCCCTTGGGGTTGCCAGTTGTATGCGTGTGTTCATATGGGTGGTTCCCTAAAATAGGGTCCCTTTGGGGAGTCCTTTTTATAAGGGTGCCGTACTGTATTGGGGGCCTAAAAGGGGACCTTAATTTAGAGAACTACCCATATACTCCTAATGGCCTCCTTATTATCCCTACAGCCCTGCACCCGACACGCTAGGAGTCTCGGAAGACAAGCACACGGAAGTCGCGAGAATGAATACCCTCATCAGTGTGAGTTTTCAGACATGGGTGATACTGCCACTGCTACTGCTGCCGCCGGTGCTGCTACCACTGCTGCTGCCACTGCTACTGCTACTGCTACTGCTGTCGCCGGTGCTGCCACTACTGCTACTGCTACTGCGCCTACTACCACCATCCGGTGGTCCATGGTCCATGCTCCTGAACCCTAAACCCTAAACTCCCTAAACCCAGGAACCTCGCCCAGGCATATCCGAGTGTGAGTGCTGAAGCCCTAAACCCTACTAAAGCCCTAAACCCTAAACCCGAAACCCTAAAACCCTAAAGCCCTAAACCCGAAACCCTAAGAACCCTAAAAGCCCTAAAAACCCTAAAGCCCTAAACCCTAAACCCTAAAAACCCGAAAGCCCTAAAAACCCTAAAACCCTAAAAACCCTAAAGCCCTAAAAACCCTAAAACCCTAAAAACCCTAAAGCCCTAAAGCCCTAAACCCGAAACCCTAAACCTGTCAGGCCCCTTCCAGCCGCTCTGGTCGGCGTTCGCGCCGACCCTGGGGCTGACCGAGCCTGGGCGTGTTAGGTCATGGGGCCTGAATAGGGTTTAGGGTTTAGGGTTTATAAGGTCTAGGGTTTAGGGTTTAGGGTTTAGGGTCTAGGGTGGGTCTAGGGTTTAGGGTTTAGGGGAATCCCTGAGGGTCCAAGTCTTCATTGTTCAAGGACTTTGGAGCCTTTCTGGCTGCCACAAACCAGAAATAAGGACTACTGGGACCCTCAGGGAATAAATAATTCGTAATTAATGGAGACCCTGCTTGATAAAACCAGGTTTTGGGGCTTAGGATTATAGGGTTTAGGGTTAATTGCTTCCTTAACAATGCCACTTAACACAACAAGGATTATGCTAGGTATTGTCCGAACAGGTGTTTAGCACTCGAGGATCTGCAGAAAGTGCCCGCTTGTAGACCATAGCTAAATCACTTCGTTTGCGTAGTTCGTGAGGCAATGCAGGATTTTGTGTCCACCAACAGGTCATAAGCAACCAAAAAAATCGGCAATATGATTTTGCCAGTTCCATAAACTCCGGCGTTACTACAAATTGTACCCCCTAACTTTATTTCGGAATGCTAAGGGTAGGGGTTACTGTTGTAGGGTGTGGGGTTTCGAGGATTGAGGTTCTCGGGTTGGGAGGTGCGGGCTGCAGGAAAGCTGAAATCATATTGAAGGTCCTTCTACTACGATTTTAAAGGTATATTCAACCCTAGACCCTAAACCCTAAACCCCTAAACCCTAAACACTCTCTTTCTAAAGTATTTAAACCTTAATGACCTTCGCGGAATCTGATCACTGTTGGCTGGGAAACAGCAACGCGTTCGCGGAAACGCATCACTTTTGATCAGTTTCCGCGAACGGATTGCAATTTTAGCCCGGGAAACAGTAATTCGTTCGTGGAACCTGATCACTTTTGATCAGTTTCCGCGAACGGATTGCACTTTTGGTCCGGGAAACAGCAATTCGTTCGCGGAATCTGATCACTTTTGATCAGTTTCCGCGAACGGATTGCACTTTTTGGCCCCGGTCAAAATTGAGGGTTCAGGGCTTAAGGTCTAGGGTTTCGGGTTCGGGGCTTAAGGTCTAGGGTTTAGGGTCAGGGCTTAGGGTCTAGGGTTTAAGGTTCAGGGCTTAAGGTCTAGGGTTTAGGGTTCAAGGCTTAAGGTCTAGGGTTTAAGGTTCAGGGCTTAAGGTCTAGGGTTTAGGGTTCAAGGCTTAAGGTCTAGGGTTTAGGGTTCAGGGATGAAGGTCTAGGGTTTAGGGTTCAGGGCTTAAGGTCTGGGTTTAGGGTTCAGGGCTTAAGGTCTAGAGTTTGGGTTCAAGGTGGTGATGTGCTATGTGAATGTAGGTCGTTGGTGTAAAAAGAACGAACTTGTTATTTTCCAATGTTGTGGGATTCAGGGGTGGGTGGTTATTGTGTCTAACCTTTAAATGTAACTGTACTATGAAACTGCTCGATCCGAAGCTGCTGAACCCTAAACCCTATAAACCCTAAACCCAAAACTCAACAGGCATAGGGAACATCAGAACGGCCAGGTCTTTTTGGCCATGCTTCCGACAGCACCTGGGCCGAACCCAACACCCGAAACCCCAAAAACTGCAAAGAAATGCAGGGAGGGGTAGAGGCTTCTGTGGGTTTTCCTTGTTGAGGGTTTAGGGTGTAGGGTAGGGTGTTGGGTTTAGGGGTTAGGGGTTTAGGGTTTAGGGTGACATTGCAGAATCCATGAGAGGTTTGACAAGGCTTGTATCGCATTTATATAGCCTTTTTGTTCCTTGACGCTTCCTATTACCTCGGGCTGCAATTAGGGCACCCGAGTTTCTTCAACTCTTCCTGGCCTCTCTATCCAAACCCAAAGTGTTTAGGGCTATAGGGTTTAGGGATTTACGGTTTAGGGTTCCCTAAACCCTACACCCTAAGCCCCTAAACCCTAAACCTCCGGTAGGCAAGAAAAGGCAGCAGGAATGTTGTGGTCCTCAGGGGCAGGATGTAAGGTTTAGGCAGCAAGGGCTTCAAGCAAAAGGGGGCCTCCGTTCTGAATGTCCAGAACAGCACAGTAGAGCACAGAATAGGGGCAAAACAAGGATACTATTACACTACTGTTGATGATATAAATCCTGCATTACGTTAAGGACCGTAAACTATGGGAATTATGGTATATTCCTGATTATGGGTTATGCAGGATTTATGATTTATATCATCAACCGTATTGGCCATATAGATTCCGTAGGGATTGTACATGGATACTCGGCCTAAGCCTTCAAACCTGCATCAGTGTTGCACTCCGAGAGGTCATGGGGCCTTAAGCCCTCTTGGTCGGCTGATGGTCTGTCGAACAAACCCAAAACACCATAAAGTATTAAGCTCAGTGTGGGTAAGTTGGGCCCGTCAGTGCGAATCGCTCTCAACATTTTGCGCTGTGAGACTCGAAATCAAACCATGAAACCCTCCAAGGCGAAAGCATTAGCCCCTTGGTCAACCACCCTAGCTGTAGGCCCGGGCTAGCCAGAAGCATTGCCACCCTACATCCAGAACCCCCGACCCGAAAACATGTAAGGTTTTAGCTTTGTGGCTGGGGGAGTCCTGCTCTTCACCGCCAGGTCTTGCTGCTGATCTTTGATGCATGCTTCCTGCCTCGTTCGGATACAGCTGCGCAGCATCTCCTTCAATTCTGGCGCTCCGACCTTCTGATAACGAGGTCTTCAGGCATGTGTTCTAAGGGCTACGGACGCATTCAAATCCCAAGCCACCAACCCTGAAACACCTGAACCTGAAGCTCCCAACCCCAAACAGGTCTACTTGGAGGTTCTAAGTCCCCTAATATGGGTTATAACTATAGTTACCTTACGTATAACCCCACTTTTTACCACCCATGGAGCTCCAAGTTGGGTCAAGGCTTTGTTTAGGGTTTCGCCGCAGAGCATTGCAGCCTGCTCGGCAGGCGCTGTAGCCCGCCGCAGGGGTTTTGTCTAGGAAGGACAAGCTGTCCCTGTTATGCGACATGTAATCCCGCAGGAACCCAGAAAACACCGTTTTTGACAACCACTCATAAGCCCTGCACCGTCGGGTGCTTTGTTGAAGGTTTAGCTTGGGGTAGTGAGTCGGGTTATAAGTGCCCCGATCTTGAAAGTAGGCTCAGCTGCGAAGAGTCAATCGGAATTCATCTGGTTGTCTGTTGAGGGTTTGCTGGCACGGCTGGATTTGACTTACGCGTCTAAGATGCGGGGGTTTGCACTTGGCACCCTTTAATGCAATTCCACTTCATCCACATGTGTTGGTGCCCTACACCCCAAAACCCTCAAACCCGAACCCAAGCTATGCGGCGTCGGTGGTTTAGGATTCCTGTTGCGTACTGTAGGGCCTAAATAATTACCAACACTATTTTGGGGTTCCTCTATTAAATAATTATAGTCTAATGGACCCCAAGACCCTATCAAAGCCCCTATATTGTAAAACTCTTTATTGAATAGTATCCCTTTTCTTAAGGAGCCTCTAAAGGAACCCTATTCTACCTGAAAAGCCAAGTAGCCCAAAATAACAGACTACCATACCCTAAAGTAGCCCATAATTGGCTCAAAGTAGCCCCTAAATACAGACTACTGGCTTTCCAGGTACATATGAAGGCTCCGACCTTATTCCTGAAGACCACGAGACCCCCCCAAAGCCTCTTGGGGGCCTCGAGGTCCCCACCTCGGGCATGGCCTAAAACTGGAGGGTTTAGGGTTTAGGGTTTAGGGCCTTAAACTTGCAAGTTTAGGGTTTTGGGTTTAGGGCCTTAAACTTGCAAGTTAGGCCTAGGGTTTAGGGTTTTAAACTTGCAAGACTTACCTTTAACCCCAAATCACCCACCTTTTTAAGGGCTTATAATAAAGAAATCATAGTAGGGAGCCCTGCTAGAAAGGTAGGTTCTTTAGGGTCCAGGTACCTACAGTCTCCATTGCAGCTCCTTTTTTCTAACCAAATTGATATTATCGGATCCTAACCATAGAGCTGAGTTGGATGTAAAAAAAGGGAGCGACAACGGCCAAAGCCCACAAAGCCGCAACCCTCAGGTAGAAGACAACCGACAACCGACCTCTAAACACTAATTCATCCCAAACCCTATAAACCCGAAAAGTAAACCCTAAAATCGAAAGACCTAAACCCTAAACCCTGTAAACCCGAAAAGCCGTAAGCCCTAAAACCGAAAAGCCTAAACCCTAAACCCTATAAAGCCGAAAGGCCCGAAACCCTAAACCCGAAAAGCCTAAACCCTAAATCCTCTAAACCCGAAAAGCCCGAAACCCTAAACCCCAGCGCGAAGAAGCCTGTTAGGGCTGAGAGGGGAAATGTTGCTTTTGGGTTTAGGTTTCAAGGTTTAGGCTTTAGGGTTTAGGGTTTAAGGTTTAGGTTTCAGGGTTTAGGCTTTAGACTTTAGGGTTTAAGGTTTAGGTTTCAGGATGGTTTCAGGGTTTATAGTAGGGTTTAGGGCTTAGGCGGGAAGGAATCGAATGGCAGCGAAAGCCTGCATAGTGAGACAAGCGTGAATACTTCTCGTCATGTTGCAGAGAACATGCAGTGTGGTTTCGTTGTGAAGTTTGATTTGTTGAGGTGCAGTACTACTGGGTCAGTTTATTCAGTTTGCGTTGCTTGACAGGGCCAGGGCATTTCAAAGACTGCTTGTTGAGCTTGCAAAGTTGCGATGTGTCCGAGGTACTTTGCATTCTTGCTCTTTTTCGTTCTGTTCCTGCCGATCATTGGCACGAACTTCAGTGATTTCGCCCATCAAGTGTACAAGAGTCCTGCCCAAGTATTTGGCCTGGTCGCAGCGAGGTCGCCCAGATGCAATTGTAAAATCCCTCATCCCAAAACCTCAAACCGTAACCCCTACACCCTAAACCCTAATCCCGAAACCCTAAATCCTAAACCTTTGAACCCTAACCCCTATACCCCTTACTAAACCTCTAAACCTTAAACCCTGAACCCGTAACCCCTAAACCCCTCATCCCCTAAACCCTAAACCCGAAGCTCGCGAAGCCCCAATCCGTGCTAAGTGAAACCTGTGCCATAAACCCCTTCCTACGGTTGATGATATAAATCCTGCATTAGCAAGGGCCCTAAACTATGGGAATTATGGTATTATATTCCTTATTATGGGTAATGCAGGATTTATATCATCACCCGTAAGAATACTCTTCCACTCAGTAGCAGTTGAAGCATATGGGTGTCCCTTTCTAGGTCCCCAATATAGTACGGCGAGTTTTTGACAAAGATCCCTACAAGGAACCTTAATTTAGAGAACCACCCATATATCTGTAATATGGATGTACTAGGCCATATTCGGCCCTTGATAGTAGCCATATTCTGGACTCTTACTGTCTGAGGGACAGTACCCTAAACCCCTCAACCCCTAAACCCTAAACCCTACACCCTATAAACCCTATATACCCTAAACCCTAAACCCCTAAACCCCCAAACCCTAAACCCCCAAACCCTAAACCCCTAAACCCTAAAGCCCTAAACCCTAAGCCTCAAGCTTCAAAAACCGAGTCCTCAGCCACGAAGTCGCAGGCTCTTCCATCGAAGTGCAGTTGGGTTCGGTGTAGGGTTTAGGATTTAGGGCTTAGGGTTGAGGGTTCATGGGTAGTTGTAAGTATGGTGATGGGGTTCCTTTAAGGGTTCCTTTAAAAGGGTTCTATAGGGCGTTTAGGGTTTAGGGTTTAGGGGTAGTTATAGGTCTTATAAGTATGTTTATAAGTCCCCCAAGATGGGCTATAACTATAGTTACCTTACTTATAACCCCACTTCTAACTACCCATGAACCTCCAAGTCATCTGCAGTTTCCATGGAGTGCTCTCTTTTTGTTGTCAAGCGTGTAGACTTGTTTAATACCAAGTATGTTTCTAGTCTGCCAAGCTCTATCTGCTGTCAGTTCATTTTCCGTCACCACAACGCCACGAGAGCCCGCAGCTCAACAACTCCATCGATGGATGCTGTGGGATTCGTGAAAATATGGGAGTTTCCCATAATAAGGGTACCGTAGTTTGGGGTCCGTATAATAAGGATCCTACTATTTGGGGTACTATATAAGGGTCCCCTACTCTCGGAAACCCCCATATTAGACCCGCGTATTGCATCTAATGCAGGGCCGGGATACTTAGCAGCGGTATTCCCTTAAAGTCACCAAAATATCTTAACGTAGTTTACTTACACACAGCTCCGCACCACAGCTTTTAAGCATGCACGCCTGGACAGGTTTGTCCTTGCCCCTAAGCAAGAGTGTGTAGACCTCTGCAGTCCAACAGGTTCAGGAGGTGTCGGTAACCAAGC